AATTTGGGTTAGAAATACGTATTCCGATTTTTTTTTAAATTAACTTTTTCAAATGTTGTGGCCTTAGGAAAAAAAAAGTCCATTTTTTACCCTAAAAAACGCTTACAAAATCGTGGATTAAAAATCCATTTTTGACAAAATCGAAAATGTGGATACGTATTTCTAAGCAGAATTTAATTTTGAACAAGAAAACCTAGGCGATATCCGAATTTGATGATAACTGGTTAGAGTTATTTTTCACGCCAGTTTGAAAAACCCCGTTTCGAGATAAACGCGTTTAAAGATTTCAATGCTCTCTCAGCGCGCCGGTACATGTTTTAGGAAATCGCTTCGTAAAGCGCTAAGGAATATTCTGGCGGACTTGGAGTCTTTTCTAAATTAAAGTATACATCCCAAGGAACATTTTGAGCCAAAAAAATGCATTTTTTTGAAAAATCAAAGTGTATTCTCCCCTTAAATCATTTCATTTTCCACACTCAAGGTCTTGCAACGCTGACAAGAATACCCAAGCTCAATTGCCTGTGGTGCAATTGACAACGATGCAAGTTCCTAGGAACATTTGCCTTTTTCCAAATTACACTATCCTCAGCTTTTACCCACGATGGGTGATCGCCTTCAATAACGTCGAAATACATAAACGCGCTACCAGGCACCTCTATCTGTCTCTGTCTTTTCCCTTGTTTTAACCAGTATGTAAACATCGATTAAGAGAGTTTATGAATAAACATTCATTGAGTATCAGTAAACGGTGGAGTTAAGTTCATTTAATGACATCCACCTCATCACCTTCTCCAACTCGACCTGCTTGAGCAGAATAGTTCCTACACGTCACCCTAGTTCCAAAAATACCCACATTGTGGGTAATAATGCAGTAAATCCCAGTTTTTCTCTAACCGGAAGCGTCATTTTGGATATCAAAATGGAGTCAGAAATGGACTTCCGCTCCCTAATCGTCACCCCGATTCCAAAAATATCCATATTGTGGGGTATTTGACAGTATTTTTCAGTTTTTTCTAACCGGAAGCCGCCAACTTGGATATCAAAATGGCGTCATACATGGATTTTCAGTCCCTTAAAGTCACACCGATTTTAAAAATACCCATATTGAGGAGTATTTAGCAGAATTTTTTTTTGATTTTCTGTAATCGGAAGCCACCATCTTGGATTTAAAAATGGCGTCCGACATCGATTTCCGGTCCCTACACATCCCTCCGATTCCAAAAATACCCTATTGTTTGGTATTTGACAGTATTTCCCAGTTTTTCTCTAACGGGATACCGCCCTCTTGGAATTCAAAATGTTGTCAGAAAAGGTTTCCGGTTCCTACAGGTCACTCCGATTCCAAAAATACCAATATTGTGGGGTATTTGACAGAAACCGCGTAAAAAACGACTCCATTGTAATATTACATCTATAGGTCTGGCAACGCTGATCACGTCTCTGGGAGCATCAGGAACATAGTTTTATCGCTCTTAGCACTAAATAAACCCGATTTGATTTATCCCATATTAGATTTTGGTATGAATGAAAGGTACGGGCCATTTAATCGAGAACACCAGAAATAATTTCTGATCTGGTCTGTTGGTCTTGGGTACTCAATATTACCACCAGTTATCATGTTTCCAAAGCACGTTTTATTTTATCATCAAAATCACTTCAGAAACAATGCCTATGACATATCGAGTTATAGAATAAAAATAACACTACATAGAACATCAACCAAAGGAGGCATCGACTTGTGGAAATATCTGATTATGGAGAGTACGATACATGGCAAAATGAAGGGACCACTGAATCCATCGAGTTATAGAAAATATGGAGATATAGAATATCGAGTTATGGAGAGTTGGCTGTATATTAAACCAGTTACCTACGAACAAAATTTCAGTCATTACCGTTCAAATGACCTATATTAGCGGTGCCGGTGGTGTAGTGGTAAGCGTGATTGCCCCTCACCCCAAAAGGCCTGTGTTCAATCCCAGTCTGCGCCGCCGGGATTTTCTGAGGCATAACATCTCTGATCACGAATCACGGAGGAAGGGAAGTAAAGCCGTTGGTCCCAAGCCCCAGCCCCATGAGTTGATGGGTCGATAGGTAGGATCGGATGAAAACTCGCATTTTGCGAATCAATTTTGTGTGTGGCAATTTCATCGTATTCCACCAGTTATCATGTATCCAAAGCACGTTTTATTTTATCATCAAAATCACTTCAGAAACAATGCCTATGACATATCGAGTTAAAGAATAAAAATAACACTACATAGAGCATCAACCAAAGGAGGCATCGACTTGTGGAAATATCTGATTATGGATAGTACGATACATGGCAAAATGAAGGGACCACTGAATCCATCGAATTATAGAAAATATCAAGATATAGAATATCGAGTTGTGGAGAGTTGGCTGTATACCAGTTACCTACGAACTAAATTTCAGTCATTACCGTTCAAATGACCTATATTAGCGTTGCCGGTGCACAGTGGGCAAAAATTGACAAAACCGCAATTAAATTTAATTTTTCGGCTGCCAAACGGTTTCAGTCAACATGTTGTACATATTCTCAAAGAAAAAAAAATCTCTGCTGAATCGATTGGTGGTAGTCTCATTGGCCGGAGACATTTGCGTACCGTTAGAGATGAACTAGCCTAAGGCTAAAAATCTCTTTAATAAAGAATTTAAAAAAAAAAAAAAAAATTTGCGTACCGAGATAGAGGGCCGGGATCAACCCGAGTTACCGGTAAAGTAGGAAATGCCACTATCTATCGACATAATTTTACACTTTATTTAACGTATATTACTGGAAATTGATAGTACTAAGTACATATGGTGTAAAGACACCATATACGCCCTCAGGGAAACTCTACTGACCTGAAGGAGGATTCGGAACGAACAATAAAGTGGCCAAATTATAAAAATTGTCCTAGAACCTTGTGATTTTTTCTATGTTGTTCAGAATCAAGAGATCAAAGCGTATTTAATATGGAAACTATATTTTGGAGTATAGTGGTCATATTCTGGTTCTCCGGGTTCTTCGGGTTGGACATTTTCTCGACTTCCCTGGGCATAGAGTATCATTGTGCTTGCCACACAATATACACATTCATGTATTGGTATTGGTATCGAAAGCTCTCAATTAATAACTGTGGAAGTGCATTTAGAACACAGTTTTTATTATATGCACTACGCAAGTTAGGTTAGACGTCATATGAAGCACGATGCTTGTTGATCAGCATTCAAACATTGAAAGAACGTCGGGATTTCGCAAAGATTTCTCTATTAAACAATATCATTTCGCAACGCATTGACTCAGCTGATCTATTTTCGAGGTTAAATTTGTATGCACCTTCCCGACAATTACGCAATCGACACTTGTTCGCAGTAGATCGCCATCGGACCAATTACGCAAAATTTGGACCAGTAAATCAGATGATGATAATGATAATCATCATTGTGAAATGATTGACCTAAATATGCCCTCAACAGAATTAAACATATGTTTCAGACCCCCGGAAGTCATAGAAAATAAGTCTTAATGTTGATATGCAGTCTACGCTTTAATTAATTGACGAATAAATAAATAAATAAATAAATAATTTATTCATGGGCTTACTTGGGATGGTTTGAATTTTTTTTAGCTTTAATGTCTTCAACAGCTTTTCATAAAATTGTACGTTATACAACTTTGCCCGAAACAGCAAACTTCTAGCGTGCGAAATAAAAAAGTTGGTATCGCTGTGCGACTAAAACTTGAACTATTTTTACCCACCACAGTATAGTACTAAATATGTCAAGAAGCTCAACGTCAACTCAATTGGATGCAATCCCAGAGCATTAATATTGTTTCCTGTTAGAATTCACTCCTAGCCCACTAAGCATTGTAGACGAAATATGCGTATCTGTCAAGGATAAGCATTAAGCAACTACAACAACATTAAGCAAGATCCTTCTATCTCTGTTTATACCATGTATTCATATAAAAACCTAAACTTTCGCTCATTTCATGCATGTTGAAAATAAATTAAACCACATGAAATGAGTACTCATTCAACTTACCAGAATAAGCGGTGACATTCATACGTTCCTCTTGAACTTTTGCATATTTTCCAGTAACATTTTTTTCGCACGAAAGCTCCACAACACCCTCCTTCGCAGCAGTAACCTACAGAAAAGGAAACCGCATTCGAGCGTATTATGAACTCCATCCGCAGGTGCTTATCGCATACAACTTGTCAACAGCTGAGCGTCTAGTTGCTTTGCATACGAATACGTTCCCGTCTAACGACGCATATGTGCCCGACTATATGAACAGCAAGACAATGAACGTGAGCTAGTAATTTGAGTTGAACAAGCTTTTCCCACTCACTACCTGTGTGGAAATAGACATATGTCCATTAAGCTGATTCAGAAAGATAAGAGTTTTACTCCAACCGCTCTACGATGTTAGTTTATATGGTTGTCCCATCCCATCAGTTTGGATTGTTAAAATTGCAATTAAAAGGCGTTTATTTAGAATTTGCTTAACTGGTACCAATTCACTGGTGCGCAGGAGCTCTTGGCGCTCTTTGGAGCTTCGTTCATTCTTGTTAATATTGATAACTAACGTTAAGTTCATTTTTTTTTTGTTAATCGATCTAAAAATAGATGGATTAAAACTAGTGTCCACTAAATAAAACTTCACAATTGCAGCACCGTAGGGCCGCAAGATATACCAGGGTTGTGCTCTAGAAGGCAAATTCAGTGAAAACGCGGAATGTGGCTCTACGGGATGTGACAATTGTGAAGTTTGATCGGAAGAATACCAGCTTGAATTTATATATTTTCAAATGGATTAACTAAAAAGTTGAATCCTGATGAATGTGGGCGTCTTAGTGGAATACTTGTATAAAGAGAGAGAGAGAAGGATTAGTAATTTCCATTTAATTCCACTACCTTATAAGGTTATACCTATAAGCCATAGGAGTAAGGTATGGACATCCACCCCAACCAGCGTAGTAAAGAGGATGGAAGCAGAGTTCATCAAGTATAGCATCAGACGGCTATATAGCAAACTGGACATGCAGATTTTGGAATGTTATTCTCTACATCTCAAATTGACCAAGGAGTATCCAATTGAATTCCAAAAGTTTCTGTCTAGAGCCAAGGTAGCAGAGGAATGCGAATCGGATAGGAAATGGAAGCTGCAGGATAGGAAGCTTAACAGACTACGACACGAGTCACAACGGAGACGGACGACACACCGAACGGATGAGCAGATCCCTTCAACCATCACCACGACGCCGAAGGTTCACTCCATTGATGGGTTGGTTGTCAACCGATCGACGACCGCATTCACGGAAGAACAATTGACATACCTCAACAAACGGCTAGGATACGCGGTTACAACCAAGCCCGACTTGGAGCAGATCATCATTGATGTAGAAACATCGATTACCAAGACACTTCCAACATCATCACAGAATACGGTTAGGAGAACATCGAACATAATCAAAGGCGGACAGGAACAAAGTCGCTCCAACGAAAAGGAAATTCGGACTGTAAAGGAGCTGAAAAGTAAAGCAGTATACTACGTGAAAGCAGACAAGGGCAACGCGATCGTTATCATGGACAAGAACGATTACGACAATCTGATGAAAACGAAGATTAACAACGGACCGTATAGACAGCTTCGAGTAGACCCCTTACAGAACATAGTGAAACGCTTGGAGAAAGCACTGAAGGAGTGCAAATCGATATTAGGAGATGGAGCAGGTCGTTTACGGGAATCCAAAGGTCTCCAAAGGTAACCCAGGATCAAAGGTCTCCCCAAAGTCCACAAACCGGGGAATGAAATGCGAGAGATCGTGTCTGCAGTTGGTTCCCCCACCCACAAACTAGCGAAGTGGCTAGTCATAGAGTTCCAGAGTATGCCGAATAAGTTCCAGAATAAAGCAGTTAGTAACACCCAGCAACTACAATCTTCAGGAGACATCAATGAGGACGAGATTATGGTATCTTTCGACGTCACAGTGTTTTTTCCCAGCGTATCAATCAAGGAAGCGATCAACCATTTGGAAGATTGACTATTAACACAGCGAGAGGATGCCGCATGGAGAAACAAGGTTCGGACGTACCTTAAGCTGACCCGCCTTTGTATGAAAGAGAACTACTTCTCTCTCCGATGTAACGATGCCAGTCAAAAGAATCAGGTAACATACCTACCACAACAAGCCCAGTAGTTTCCCTATTATAAGACCTCCCATTGTTTTCCACCCAAGGACCCATTGTCCTTAATTCAAGTCTCCGCTGTTCAGTGTCGAGCCACCGATCGCTGTCTAGACCGTCGGAGCGATCAACCCTCCAAGTGAGCGTCCAGAGACATCGCTAAATCGCTATTATGTCGTTGGGAACGGCAACTGGTAATACCCAGTGACCAGCACGAGGCCCGCCCCGTTACATACCCACATTCGTAAGCAACCTAAAACCCTGAATAAAAAGTGCATAAAAGAAGACCGAGTAGCGTGTTATTTGCGCCCTGATCAGCCTCACCATCCCACAGTGGTGCAAAAGGCCAAATCCATGAACTTTTTTCATTAGCGCCTTTTACAGTGGTTTTTTCAATAGGGTGTCTTCAGAAAAGTTTTTATAAATGACAAGACCCATTGAACGAAGTTAAGTTTTAGTTCGAAACTTCACCACAGGTGGTGCTGCAAAATCTAACTTTTTAGTTTGACCAGATAGTCTTTAGTTTGATATAAAGTCTTCAGCTAAGTTGTAGGTTGCTTCATAACTAAAAACTTTGTAGAAGACGCCATGTCTCTATCTGCTTGCGATTTTCAGTTATGAAGCGTTTTTTTATAGAAGGGCCTCAAAAATCCGTTTTTTGTCAATATTTCTGAAAATATTTGTTTTAGATGACTATAGTGTTCTGCAACTTTTTAATAACTATTAAAATACACAACTTTGCTCAAGACAAAAAGGTTCTAACTGCATAACAGAAAATGTTATAGGCAATATCAGCTCAAAAATAGCTAAATTTCAAGCATCCACAAACTTCAAAGGGGGAAAAAGGGGCAGACTATCATTTTATATAGTAGTCATTTATATCCCGTTGTATCCATGTGAGCTGATCAATGTTGTATTAACAGCATTCTAACCACCCAGCATGTTTTGTTTGTTAGTTTTTGACATGCCAAAGCAACCCATGATTGCCATTTTTAAACTGTCATTCGAGCGTTTTGTTACAATTGAAATTGGCATTTGCGTTCATCAGAGTAAAAATTCGTTTGCAAATAACATTCTGAAAATTTTGACTGCACAGAAGGTAAGTCAAATATTGTTTACTTATATGATTGGTATTGCGTGTTTTGTTTTCTGGATATTCTGCACTCATGTAATTTTTGTGTTTTATTGCTGGGGAATGGTTTTTAAGCAGACAAGTCAAATATACTGAACAACATTAAAATGAGGTTATCGATTCTCTATTTCAGTTGAAATCGATAAACGAAAGCTGTTTTCAATTTGGAAAAACTCCTTAGGAGATGAAAAGGTTGCCTCCGTTTGCAACGAAGTTTTCACTCATTATGGAATTGAACAGCTCATGGTAGCAGCTGTCATAGAAGCTAAACAAATTGTACTATCGATGCATAAATATTTTAAAAAGCTATGGCAAAACATAACCGAACCGAAGAAAAAGTATATACAGGGTGCGTGACAAATTTTTGCAGTAAATGGCATATTTGAGAAAAAATACACCAGTTAGTTATTCTAGCAATGAATTTTGTGCGATTTATTTTCCTTCGCAACATATGGAAGTTTTAAGTAAATTTATTCAAAAAAATTGCCTTCCCTTTCGACGACTGTAGTTAGACGCTTCCGGAAACTGCAGTATGCACGTTTAAAAATGTTTCGATCCATAGATGTCATCACTGTTTGATTTTAGCTTTTAGCGACTTAAGTGTGGTGTGAGGGGTTCTATTGGTATCCCGTTGGACGACGCCCTATACAAAATAATCCAACGGATTGATATCGGGACTGCTTGCAAATTTTTTCCTCCCAAATTTACGAAATATTTTCCGTAAGCCATTTCTGTGCTTTATTAGCAGTATGAGCAGGTGCTCCGTCTTATCACTTTCCCAAGCCTTTTTTAATATTATACACTGTTCTTTCAGACACATTTACCGACCGAATTATTTCTTTCATGCATACTCCGGCGCGCAACAAAGCGACAACGGCTGACAGATTGCTCTCTTGTTTCGACATCTTTACGTTTACTCAACATTGTTTGTTTAAATCTTACACCTAACAGTATAAGCTATCCAGTGCTGCCAAATATTTCTAAATCATGATGCACAAGCATGAGAAATTACTATTTGAGATTTACTGCAAAAATTCGTCACGCACCCTGTAGCAACGATTACTTTACCAGCCCGTTTAAACTTCCTTCGAAAAGTATTAATGGCATTCCTTCGTCATCCTCACCTGCTAAACGTGGCAGAAAGTTACTGGCATTCGAAGACAGCAGCGAAGTTGTAAAAAGACGGAAGGCATTGGATTTAAGGAACAAATATCCAACGGCTGAGTTAGCAAATGATACTCAAATGAAACTAAGAGAGGAGGGTAAACACGATTCCGGGACTATTGTGCAAGATGTTACACAAAGGAGTCCATCAAGAGCAACGCAAGTGTCGTCATTGCAACGTTAAGTTTCTAAATCTGTTGTTCCGTTTACAAATAATGAAGCTCTTGTCATGGATCTGAATCTGACGAACAATCAATAGGAAAGATTGCGTAAAGGTGGCCGTTCAGCGCAACGCAAACCTTTATCTTCATACCACAAAGTGTTGGATGTAAAGAGAAGTTGTTACTGCGTAAAAGAATCCTTGCTGATCTCAGGAACTTAGGGCTCTTTTGAGACACACAAGCCGTAGAATAATAGAAGCAAATATTAATACCCTGTACAGACGGCTTATATCATCTAGTTCTCACTGGAAATCCTATGTATGAGTGCTCATTGCAAAACAGCCTATTAGACATGATATAAGCCATAGTCTGTACGGGGTATAAATCTTTATTACGACTTTCTTGCGCCTGTTCCGACAATTGGCCTATTGGAACTAGAAAGCTTTCCACATCTTTAGATCCGTGAATCAGAATTTTTTGAACAGTAACCGGCTTTACTCTGATGAACGCAAATGCAACGAACGTTTTGTACCAAAACGCTCAATGACAATGGCAATCATGGGTTGCTTTGGCATGTCAAAAATAAACAAACAAAACATGGTGGGTGGTTAGAATGCTGTTTTAATAAAACATTGGTCGGCTCACATGGATGCAACGGGATACAAATGACTGTTAGAGGAAATGATAGTATTTTCACTATAGTTTCATCATATTGAGGAGTCTTCTGTCCCTTTTTGCCTCTTTGAAGTTAGTGGATGCTTGAAATTTGACTATTTTTGAGCTGATATTGCCTATAACATTTTATGTTTTGTAGATAGAACCTTTTTGTCTTGAGCAAAGTTGGGTATTTTATTGATCATTAAAAAGTTGCAGAACATTATAGTCATGCAAAACAAACAGTTTCGGAAATATTTACCAAAAACGGATTTTTGAGGCCCTTCTATAAAAAACGCTTCATAACTGAAAATGGCAAGCAGATACAGACATGGCGTTTTCTACAAAGTGTTTAGTTATGAAGCAACCTACAACTTAGCTGAAGACTTTATATCAAACTTAAGACTATCTGGTCAAACTAAAAAGTTAGATTTTGCAGCACCACCTGTGGTGAAGTTTAGATCTAAAACTCTTCTGAAGACACCCTATTGAAAAAATCTCTGTGAAAGGTGCTAATGAAAAAAGTTCATGGATTTGGTCTTTTGCACCACTGTGCATGCCTTTGTCAACCTGGGGAAGAGTCTTGAGGTAAACCAACAAAAGAGGCTGGTGGATAGTCCACCCCGTTGGTCCCCGTGGTTCTAGACCAGGGACCTGGGACATTACCGTAACGGAGAGCTCTGCTCCCAAAAAAAGTAACATTTCTCGAAACCTTCTCCATTCTAAAGACGGGACTTTTCCCGTCTTTTGACATTATTACTTAAATTTCTCATCGGGATGTCTGGAACAATCTTTTCTTCTATTTTTTTGTTTATATAAAAGACTCGGAAAAAAGTGACTGTAGTGGATAAAGTTAAAGTGAAAACAAAAATCTTTCAATGTTATGAATAAAAAAATGAAACACAGCAGCCAAAAAAAAAACGAACAACATCACTGCCGCACCAAAAAAGCCAACATAGGCATCCGAGATAGATAATGCATTGATACACGGAAATTTGGCTTCTTTTTGACTATCGTTCATTAACGTAAATTTGAGTTAAAGTAGATATACCCAATTTTGGGTAAATTGGCGAAACAATCTACTAGGTAAATTGAAGCAGTTACAAAAAAAGCCAGCATTGAGTCAAATTAACTTACTGGTAGGTAAAAATGATAAGAAGAAGATCCAGTATTGGGTAAAATTAGATTACTATAGGGGGTAAAAATGATCAATAGAAGACTTTTTCAAAGGGTTGATGTTAGATATTAATCTGTAAAAATTTCTTCTGAGATTCATTTCAAAATCAAAAGCTGCCGGAGGCTCAGTTGAATTCAGGAAATCCGGCGCAAGGAAAGTGGAAGCTGTTGACTGTTGACAACTGGAACGGCTATTGCACAACCACTCTCGACCTGCTGGAAGCTCATCCAAATCTGGAAAAACCGCCGCAGGCGAGATGAAAGCGCATTCTGGCTCACTGCTAGAGAGAAGTTG